ATGTGTGAAAAGGCTTCAAGAGTGACGCCCATGTAAGTAATGATGGAAATGTTTCCAAGCCAATCAACGGTCCTGATTCTCAAATGGATTGTGCTGCTTTTGCTTTTGTGCCACTTTGTGTCTAATTTACAGAACACACAAGGGTGTTAAATTCACCTCTTGACTGCAAACAGCGTCTCAGTGCGTCGGTGCGTCTCAGTGTGTCGGTGATGGTTGCCTTTAACTGGGGGAAAACAGTCCCGCCCCCTTTCTATGCAAATAATCATCATTACAGTTATCTACGTTCATTTTCTGTCCTGAATATGAAGCATGAAAACTGTGATATAAAAACGGATTTCATATGAAATGACACTACCTGATGTTCTAACTGAGTGCTGTGGTGACTCTTAACTCAGTTTTTTTTTTGCTATCTTTGGTACACACACGTACACACACACACACACACACACACACACACACACACACACACACACAAATGAACATTCATCCGTCCTCCCACAGACACATCCTCGGCTGTCACCTCTTGCAGCATCACACGGTCATGCTGCGATTAGGAATCTGTTTCCCCCATCTGTCATGTCCCCACAGCAAACACACACACACCTTCACACACACACCTACACACACACACCTTCACACACACACACACACCCTGGCAGTAGGTATATTCCTCCTAATCTAGTACAGTGGAAGCAGAGAGCAACAGACCGAGAGGATGAAAACTGGATCCAATAACTCCACGCTTCAGGTGCTCTGGACTTCAATTATTCATGATCACACACACACACACACACACACACACACACACACACACACACACACACACACACACACACACACACACACACACACACACACACACACACACACACACACACACACACACACACACACACACACACACAGGTACCTGAGCTCTGTAAAGGGTTTCACATCAAGCTGGAGCTGCGTTTGTGAGCTGTGAGAAACTTAATTGAGCTTTGAGTGAAGTTTAAAGTGAAATTGGCGTCCCATGGCGGTAAGGTAAGCCTGTGTCCAATCATATTCATGTTAGCAAGGAGAGGAAAACACGGATAAGACGGCGTGAGCCAGTGGCTGAACAAACGGCAGCGCGCCGAGGAGCCTCGAGGTTTCGACAGGAGAAAGTCAATTACGCTGCAGAGAGCTGAGCAGCGGGGATTTATTTCACCGCTGCAAGACGGGGGGAAAAAATCACATCTGCCTCACTGAAACATAAAATACTCTTTCCTTATGGTTTCTGTGTTTAATTGACCCGTTATATTTAAGTCCACTCTTCCCTAAGCTCAGAAAAAAAGGACATTTTAAAACAACTTTGACGAGCTCGGGTCTCTCACCTTGGTCTTGCCCAGCTGCCAGTCCGCACTGCTGCTGTCGTACAGGTAGAGCAGCTGGACGCAGCTCCCCTTGGGGTCATCGGGGGTCATCACGCCCCGCATCAACACCTTGTACCTGAAGACGGGATGAAATAAAGCAGCATGTGAATGGTGCTCTGTTGGGGCTCTAATAAAGGAATAGAAGGGATCTTGTTTTTCACATATTAATCAATTATTCAGAATCCACTTCACCACGTTCCTCTAACTCTAACATGTGTCTCTAGTCTGTCTACAAACCCCCCAAGGATTAGAAAAGTCCATCCTCTCCGTCTTCTCCCTGCTCCACTTTTCAGAAAATGTGTGCTCAAACAGGCTGTTTGGAAATTTTCCCTTCATGACATCACAAAGGGCAGTAGCCCCTCCCCCAAGTGGGTGACACTCCCACAGCTAGGTGTTTGTTCTGCCCTCTGAGTCTGCCTTCTCACCGTAAACAATAGGACATGGAGCGAGAAAGCACCGAGTACACCCAAGCCCTTCCAGAGAGGGGGCGTGGTCAGACACCGCTCATTTACATATTTAAAGGTACAGACACAGAAACAGCCTGTTCTGAGCAGGGCTGAAATAGAGGGGTTTATAGACATGATCAAATACAGGATCAGAGTGGATTTAGAACAAGAAACTTCACACACATGTTTTGAGGAGCTCTGAGACTTATTTAAACTGGATGAAGAGGAGGAGGATATGTCACCTTTAAAACAGAAGGCGATATGTTGGACTGAGGCGTTCAGAGACTCACCTGGTGCAGAAGTCTTGGAAAGGTCTGCGGATGGGGAAGCCGGTTCGTCGAATCTTCACGGTCTCCAACATGCCCGAGTATCTGAGCTGGTTCAGAACCAACGTCTGGTCGAACTGATCAGGCATCTAGAGGCAGAGAGTGGACGTTTAGTGGCAAAAAGACACAGTTACATACACACACACACACACATGAAGTGTCAGCTATGAGATAATGAGACAAGTTATTATTGTATCTCAAAGGAAATAAAACATTATGTGAAGGTCCAGTAAACCACTGGAAGGCTCAAACCTCTTGGCTCATTCTGGAGGAGTTTTAGGAAATCCGATAATCTTGGACACTTCCTCACTTTTTGCAGATGTTACGGACGCAATTTGGGCTTACTGTGGAAAATGTGTTTGATTTTTTTTTTTTTTTTTAGCTTAAAGTCGGAATTTTGACTTTTTACCCAGATTTCTACAATTCTATGATTCATTTGGCTGACGCTTTTATCCAAAGCGAAGAACATCAGAGAGTAAGAACAACACAAGCAAGTATACCTAAATAGGAAACAAGGTCAGGAAATGCAAAAGACGTCCTTAAGTCTGATTGGACACACAGGTGTTGACAGGAAGTGACCAGGCACAGAGCACAACATCAACAGCTGTTCTTGAGAGTTCTAATCAGCACCAAAACCATCCTAAATATCCTCATCATCATCATCATCACGTCGTAGGTGTTCATAAAGAGCTGGGTCTTGAGCTTTTCCTTAAAGGTTCCAACAAAGTATGTTTGTCACAAAAATTAGTCTAGTAAAAATTTCGATTTCCACGGCAACAAAATTAGAAGTCCTAGTTCCCAAAATTGGGGAACTTTCTTGTTTTCAATTATCATAAATTGGCAAGAAACTCTAGCACACAGTGTTAAGTGCACACAGACGTTGGCAATGTTTCTGTACTGTCTACTTATTTGATTCATTTAGACAGTGTTCAGGAGCATTTTCCCATCCTATCGATTACTAAAACAAGCGAGATTGTATCATTTACAAAACATGAGAAATCAAAACAGTATTGAAAATTAGGACAATCTTACAACAAAGTTTATTCACTGAATAGTTAATCACCATTTTTGGATGGATGATGTTGACACACTGAGGGAGGAGCTGTTAAAAAAGTGATGCCGCCTGCTTGGTACCCCAGCATGCTTTGAGTAAAGAATCTGCTTCTTGTAATACACATCGAACTTGTTCCAGTTTGCAGTCAGTGGGTCCATACTGTCACCACATGTGGACGTATTTGTGCACTTTGGACACAGTTTGTCCCGAGTCGCTTCTCTTTAAATTCCCTTTAAGCGCTGGAACAGTCCATCTACGTCACATGATGCACACGCCCATCCCACCCCTTTAAAAATCCTCCACACGCATGTACAGACGTGCACCGACGCATCGCTGCATACCTCTCATTCACAACTTTGAACTTGGAGAGAGAAGTGCATACGACAGCAGCAGCCAGTGACCAATCAGAACCCTCCAAAAACACACTTGGCATTGGGACACCATTATTACTTAACAGAAGAGCTTTCAATGAGGGCCATTTTCCCGGGGACCCCTCTCACCCTGTAACCTCGGTGGGCGGAGGGGGGGGGCTCAGAATAAGAGGGTGCTTTCATACGCGCTCCTAATGCCCCCTTTTATTCAGCGGGCCATCTCTCCTGATAGCTCGTTGATGGCCCATTTGAGGACGCTGAGATGAAGAGAGGCCGATTCAGCACCAGATCTTGACTGGGTTGATTGAATGGTGCCCTTTAAGACCCACCGGCCGCAGAGAGGATTAGCATAGCTTGCATTTGCATACGTCCCCGCACAAAGCCGAGCGGTGTCAGGAAGCTGCCCTCTGCCTCCTGCCTCTCTATCTCTATCGTTTCCTCCTTTTGCTTGCATTCAGGCTGTCAACAACTTCTTCTCTTTGGAAGACTCGGATGTCATCCTGAGGAACGGGGCAAATGGAACTTTCGTTCTTTCCTATTTCTTTTCTATCCTCATGTCATTCTCTGACAAAACATTCAAAGCTTCATGCTTTGCAAAACAGAAAAAAAGGTCTGCAGACAAAAGATGCCTTTTCACTTCATAAGCGACATCAGGGAGGTCCTTTTTATCCCTTTCACTCAGCAGTTCTCAAAATGCTAAACTTGATCTATGCATGAAGTGAACTTAGCTGGAACTTGGACCAGTATCCAGTCCTTGTTTTCCTACGTATGATCATTAGGTTTAAAAGCGTTTTAGGCTAATGTCCATCAAGAAATGGTAGAACTTAATTTGGTGGTTTTGTTATGTTGCGGTTTTGTCCCGCAGCCCAATAGGATTATCTGATCTGGCGAGCCATCAGCTGAGAACAACATGGATGTAAATCAGCATCCAGAGGAGAGATAAACCATCTCAGGCCTCTATCAGGGGCGTGACAACAATAGCCCGAGGAGTGAAATCTTCTGTCTTTCTCAGCCAAACTTCCCTAAGCCTAAAGACTCAGAGCTCGGGGGGGGGGCATTCAAAAGGACAAAAGAGGGGCGGGGTAGTCTGCTCCCATGGGGGCTGCAAAGCTGACAACTAAACTCTGGATGAGCCGTCAATCCGTCACCACCAGAAAGAAGGTCTGCATTGTCCTCAACCTGAATCTTCTTCATTTCAATTGTCCAATTATGGCTGTGGTTTTCCATGACTTAATAGAAAGCTTTGCAGCCGTACTATAAGTGCAGATAGGTCGTGAGGGATGCAAAGAAAGTTCAGAAGAGATTCACTCAGTCCTTAAATGTTTACCTTACATCTGTCATTTTACTCCAGTTTACAATTAATGAAACAATGCATCGTGCACCGTGTTGTACTGTAACAAAACTCGGCTGTCATTACACCTTTGTGCTATCATATCGATTCTGCAGTGCCTTAATTTGATTGGGTGGCTTCACTTTCTTTAACTGTATGTAAACGTCCTGAGTGATCCCGTCCCCCCATTTGTCCCTCCCCCCATTATGCCTCCATGACGTTCATATTGAATGCGAGACGTTACAGGGGCAAATATATCTCAGCTCGAACTACAAATATTAGTTGGTCTGAGTGCTTTATTTTCCCCGCTAAAGTGCTGTAACTAAGCTCAGCCATCATCACGTCTTTGTAAATTCATAATGATTCCAAGGAGGCGTAATATCGGTGTCCTTATCTGTGCACTCACACTGCATTTCGACGTTGTGGAAGCACGGCAAAGCTGGAGCTCCACATACACACACAGTCAGACATGCACACACAGCGCTGCGCTCCACCGCTGGCTGCACTGTTCTCGTCTCACCCCTGCAACGCCTCTGTTTCTACCTCTGAAGACGGTACAAAATGGGGATCACTTCGACCGCCCATTAAATGGTAAATGGACTTCAGATAGTCTTCTGACTACTCAAAGCATGTTTACACCGGGTACAGTTAAGATCCCTCGACCGATCACGTCAAACATTTAGTGAAAACATCTAAATGCTGGGAACTCTTTGGTAAAGTTTGGAAGCGTCCCATGTAGCGTCCATACAAACAAATCCTCAGCCCTGGTCTTTGACCCATTGCTGTTCCAGTGCTGTGATCTGGATCCTGTCTGATCTTCTGAACAGTAAATGTCACATGAAGTTAAAACTGCACTCCAGCAGCCCCCGAGTGGCAGCAGCAGATAATTGGATTTCACTACCAAGAATCAAATGAGATTTTCCTCATCTCTTCAGGCGACCTTTGGTGAAGTTCCCTACAGACCTCCCCTTCTGATGAATCTGTTCATGTGTACTCTTCATGATTTATACTTTAACTTATACTGTTCTTCTTTTTGCTCAGATGAGAACATGAATCCGTCCTCTGGCTCTTGATGTCAGCAGCAGTACCCTCTTTGAGTACCATATGTTTTAGGAGAACTCAAGAATGAATCGGATATTTTTTTATTTGGATGAATAAAATGTGTGTTCAGAATCCTGAAACCTTTTGGAGCACTGATGAAATGGTTGTGAATAAGTCAAAGACACTTTATAGAAACATCAGGATGGTTTATCACCAAATGTCTACTGTCGGTTTCTGGTCTTTTGTTTTATTCATGTCTTCTTGTAAGCCTGTTTTGGGTTGGGCACATTGACACAATAATCCAGAAATGGCTGTGGATCAGTGGTTGATTCAGACGTTTCTAAACCGGAAGTCGGAATTTGATCCCCAGCTCCTGCAGCCGTAAGTCTGATGTTGCCTTTGGTAAGACACTTGACCCCAAGGGGCTTTTTTATGACTTCACTAAAGAGACAGGACAGTGGATAAAGTTGGTGTTCTCACAAAGAGTGAGGAACGACCTGGGGGGAAAAAAATCCACAGGTTGGACTCAAATCCAGGCCGCTACCTCGAGGACCACAGCCTATACTCATTGGTGTGATAAGCAACCACTAGGCCACTGGTGCCCCCACAAATATTGGTTTTCATCAAAACTAACCATCCAAAACAAAAAAAGCACAAAACGATGTCAGATTACGGCCGTACTGTATTAGAGCAGCAGCTCACATTAACCATTGTGACACACAGAACAACATCCCTAAACCCAAAGGTTCTCAAATGTTAACCTTCCTAATAAATATAAGACATAAAGTCTGACACTGAAGACTTTCTGGCATTGTTTCCTAGATGAATGTCTCTCTGTTCTTCTTCTGTCTTTAACGCTTCGGGAGGATCAGCATTCTCACTTTAAACAGAACTAAGAACATCTAAGAACCTCCAGAACCCAAAGACCTCTGTGAGTGTTTCTATAGAGGGAAGTCTCGTTTGCTTCTGGGCGTCCAGGTCTGAATGCTGGAGAGGGGGGGCGGGTCAGCGGGGATTATCACTCACTGCTCAGTAGGAGTTCCTTTTTTCTGATTTTTTTGGGGGAATTGCTGGAACATTGTTTGTCCCTCATAGATGGACGGAAATCCAGCCTTAATCCGTGACCCTTCTGGATTTAATCCTGACCCAGTTTTGGCTTCTTGAGGGTTTTAGATTTCTCCAAAACACAAAGAAAGGCAGCAGAGGTAGAGCGACGGAGATTAAACCAATAAATACAATCATTCTGCACGATGCAAGCTCTTAAAGGAAACAAGAACATCAGAGGAAGCGGTATCAAACACAACAGTAGTTCTCTGAAACTTTCTCAGTTTAAAACACAACGTCTTGAACTGCAGGCTCAGTGTGAAGGAAGATAAACTTCAATAATGCAAAGACTGCACACCACAGCAGGTCAGTGATAAACAACGGGCTAATTCGACTTTTGAAAGAGATGAATTAAAAAGATGGCTTATATATGGCTTAACGATTATAAATCTCCAAAGAAGTAAAAAGTCACTCACAGTTTCCAAAAACCCAAA